CAAGTTTTCTCCTAGAGGGCACAGGAGTAAGCCCTCCTTGTGCGTGAGGTTGCCATGTCCCGGTGGCCCAGGCTGGTCCTGGCATGCTAAAGAGGAATGTGCCATTACAGGAAATCATGACCTTCAACAGGACGTGGTTTGTGGACTTCACCCTGGGAGGGAGTGCAGCAACTGGACTCTGCCCAGAGAACCTCTACCAGGATGTTCATGCCTGAGAATTACAGCCACCTTGGTGTCTGTGGTGAGGGACCCGGCGCCACGGGGTGATGCAGAATGCCCCAGTACTGTGGTTTCTCTTTCTCAGGCTGCTCCAAGCTCGGGGGCCTGGGAACAATGAGTGTGGGTTACCACCTCAGTGAGTTTTTGGGTTACAGCCCACTGTGCAGTATTCGTAAGTCCCCGTTGGACTCTGGGAGGAGCATATTGGTGCCCTTGCTTGCTATGTGAATGTTCTGTACTGAGGGCACGATGGCTGTGTGCTTGGACCATTCCCCGAGGCCGTGCCACCTTCGCCTCGCAGGGCGTGGCCTAGGTTCTGGAATTCCTCAGCGTTGAATAACGAAGTCCTATGTCATGTCCCCTGACAGGGTATCTAGTTGCGAAGCCAGATGTGATCTTCAGGTTGGGACCAGGAGAAGAGGTCCTGGATGGCAGATGGAGGGACCCCGGTACGGACCTGTGCAGGTGGAGGACAGGCCAGGTGAGTCAGGGCCGGGGAAAGGGACCAGGTTGGTTGGTGAAGCTTGGCCTCTGGGATGAGCTCAGGAGGCTCTTCTGAGAGCCCGGACTTGTGGACAGCCTAGGCTCTGATGAGCGGAACTGTTTGTCACGTGTCCAAATGAGTCCTCTGCCTGGCCACTGGTTACAGTCTCTGCGTTCTTTGCTTGGCGTTCCCATAGATTGTGGCCACTCTTGTTCTGAGATCCCATTTCTACCTTCCCCCCTCCTGGCTTGTTAGTGAGAAGTGCCAAGCCTCTTCTCATTCCTCTCCCACCACCTTTCTGGAAGCTTTTAAGACTTATTCTCCCTTCTTGTGCTTATATATTTTTACCAGAGTAGATGCAAATGTCAGCATTTCCTCTTTACTGGGCATACTGTGGGCCCTTTCAGGCTGAAAGTTGGAGTCTTTTATTTTTTAGACTCAAGGAAATTATCATACATTATTTTTTGGAGTTGGTATAGGCAACAAAGCTTTGCTAGTGACCTTTACTCTACCCAGCCTGGTACCCACCATGTTCTTGCCTGCTCTTATTTTGTGGTAAACACTGTAAACCTCACACTGTTTTCTATTTTCTCTTCGTATTCCTTCTCAGACTCTTACAAATCTGACTTGATACCACCTGTTTTCAGAGTCCTCCTCTTTTCAGTACCTTCCTCCCACTCAACTCTTGTTTTTTATATTATCTCTTTATTTATTCAAAAATAAACTTGAGAGAACATTATTCCCAGGGCGGAATACTTCATCAAACACTGCTAAACTGTTTTCCAATGTGGCTATAGCACCTTTTTTTTTCCACTAGCAATGTACACAAGCTCCATGTGTTTCTCATCCTTGCAAGCACTTGGTGTTGTTAGTGTTAGTCCTTTTTTTCTAGTAGGTGCGTAGGAGGATCTCATTGTGATTTAATTTTGCATTTCTCTAATGATGAATATTGTTGAGCCCTTATTTGCCATCTTTATATCTTCTTTATATCTTCTTTATGGAAGTATTTGTTGTAATCTTTTGCCATTTTTCTTTGCTATTAAATTGTAAGGTTCTTTATATATTTTTTTGAGATGGAGTCTCGCTCTGTTTCCCAGACTGGAATACAGTGGTGCAATCTTGGCTCACTGCAACCTCGCCTCCTGGGTTCAAGCAAGTCTCCTGCCTCAGCCTCCCGAGTAGCTGGGGTTACAGGCACACGCCACCATGCCCAGCTAATTTTTGTATTTTTAGTATTTTGGTTTCGCCATGTTGGCCAGGCTGGTCTCAAACTCCTGACCTCAGGTGTGATCCACCCTCCTCAGCCTCCCGGAGTGCTGGGATTACAGGCGTGAGCCACTGTGTCCGGCTGGTTCTTTATATATTATTGATGCAAGTCGTTTAACTATGTACTCCCAGGTTATGGCTTCTTTTTTTCTCAACTGTGCTGTGTAGAGTAGACGTTTTTAATTTTGATAAAGCCCAGTTTATCGATTTCTTTTATGGTTCGTGCTTTTTGTATCCTGTCTAACAAATCTCTGACTCAGAGCAATGGAGATTTTCTCCTATGTCTTCTTTCAGAAGATTTATAATTTTAGCTTTTAAATTTAGACCTATGACAAAGAATGAGTTAAGTTTGTAAATTTGATATGAGGTGAGGGTCAGGGGGTTTTTTTGCATATGTATATCCAATTTTTCCAGCAGCATTTTTGAAAATACTGTTTTTGTTGTTGTTGTTGTTATTGACTTACTTTGCCATCGTTGCTGATAACCTTTGAATGGCCAGGCACAATGACTCACATTTGTAATCCCAGCACTTTGGGAGGCTGAGGTGGGAAGATCAGTTGAGCCTAGGAGCTTGAGACTAGCCTAGGCAACATAGTGAGCCCCCGTCTCTACAAAATATTTTAAAAATTTGCCAAGCATGATGGCATGCACTTGTAGTCTCCACTACTTGGGAGGTTGAGGTGGGAGGATTGCTTGAGCACGAGAGGACGAGGCTGCAGTGAGCCGTGATCACGCCACTGCCACTCCAGCCTGGGGTACAGCAAGACCCTGTCTCAAAAAAAACCAAACAATTGAACAGAGATGCGTCTGTCTATACATCAGTAATACACTGTTTAATTACTGTAGCCTAATGTTAAGTGTTCAAATCAGGAAGTATGAATTTTCCAACTTTGCTCTTCCTCTCCTAATGTTTTGCCCATTCTAGGTCCTTGGTATTTTTATATAAATCTTAGAATCAGCTTGTGAATTTGTACACAAAAGCCCGCAGGGATTTTTGTATGGGATTACACTGAATCTGTGGATCGTTGATATACTGACAGTATTGAGTCTTCCAATTAATGAATAGCATGTATCTCTATTTAGATCTTCTTAAATTTTATCTCAATGTTTTGTAGTTTTGAATGCATAAGTCTTTCACATTTTGTTTAATTCATATCTGCATTTTATGTTCTTATAAGATACTGTAAATGGTATTTTGTTTAATTTCAATTTCCCATTGGCCAGTACTATCTTATAGAAATGCCATTGATTTTTGTATATTGATCTTGTATCCTGGGACCTTTCTAAGTGTACATATTAATACTTGTAACTTTTTTGTAGATAGCTTGGCATTTCCTATGTAAACAATCATGTAGTTGTAAAAAAGACAGTTTTATTTCTTCCTTTCCAGTCTGGATGTCTTTTTCTTCTCTTTTTTTTTTTTTTTTTTTTTTTTTTTTTTGAGGAGTTTCACTCTTGTTGCCCAGGCTGGAGTGCAATGGCATGACCTTGGCTCACCGCAACCTCCATCTCCTGAGGTCAAGTGATTCTTCTGCCTCAGCCTCCCAAGTAGCTGGGATTACAGGTATGCACCATGATGCCCAGCTAATTTTTTTTTTTTTTTTGTATTTTTAGTAGAGACAGGGTTTCTCCATGTTCATCAGGCTGGTCTCGAACTCCCGACCTCAGGTGATCCGCCTGCCTCGGTCTCCCAAAGTGCTGGGATTATAGGCATGAGCCACCATGCCCGGCCTCTTTTTGCCATTTTTTACTGGCTAGGATCTTGAGTATTGTGTTGAATAGGCATAGTGAGAATGACTTCTTTGCTTTATTCCTGATTTTAGGGCAAAAGTACTCACTTTCTCATTATTAAGTATAATTTTTTATTTGTAGAGTTTTCCATTGGTGGCCTGACAATGGTTGAGGATTATTCCTTTTAATCTTAGTTTTTTGAGTTTTTATCATGAATTGATGCTGAATGTCGTGAATGCTTTTTCTGTATCAATCCATATAATCATGCTTCTTCTCCTTTATTTTTAAATTAATTAAATAATTATTATTATATTTAGAGATGGAGTCTCATTCTGTTCCCCAGGCTGGAGTGCAGTGGTGTGGTCATAGCTCATTGTGGCCTCAAACTCCTGTGCTCAAGTGATCCTCCTGCCTTAGCCTCCAGAGTAGCTGGGACTACAGGCATGTACCACCATGCCCAGCTATTTTTTAAATTTTTTGTAAAGATTAGGTCTTGTTGTGTTGCCCAGGCTGGTCTTGAACTTCTGGCCTCAAGTGATCCTCCAGCTCAGCCTCCCAAAGTTCTGGGATTACAGGTGTGAGCTACCATGCCTAGTTAATTTGCAGATTTTTCTTTTTCTTTTCTTTTTTTTTTTTTGAGAGGGAATCTCGCTCTGTGCCCAGGCTGGATGGAGTGCAGTGGCACGATCTCAGCTCACTGCAAGCTCCGCCTCCCAAGTTCAAGTGTTTCTCCCACCTCAGCATCCTGAGTAGCTGGAATTATAGGCACCTGCCACCATGCCCGGCTAATTTGTGTGTGTGTGTGTGTGTGTGCGTGTGTGTGTGTGTGCGCGCGCGCATTTTTTTTAGTAGAGACGGGGTTTCTCCGTGTTGGTCAGGCTGGTCTCGAACTCCCCTGACCTCAGGTGATCCACCTGCCTCAGTCTCACACAGTGCTGGGATTACAGGTGTGAGCCACCATGCCTAGCCAATTTGCAGATATTGAACCAGCCTTTCCATTACCTGTGTAAACCCCACTTGATAATGATCAGTCATTCCTTTGATATGCTCCTATTTATTTTTGCTTATATTTTATTATTTTGCATCTATGTTTATGTGTCATAATTGTTTGTAGTTTTCTTCACTTACACTGTTTGTGTCTGGTTTTGACGTCAGGGTTATGCTGGCCTCATAAAATGAGTTGGGAAGTGTTTCCTCCTCTTCTGTTTTCTGAAATTTATATAGGACTAGCGTTATTTCTTAAATGTTTTGTAGCGTTCATCAGTGAAGACATCTGGGCCTAGCATTTTCTTTGAGGGGAGGTTTTGAACTACAAATTCTGTTTTTTTTTTGAGACGGAGTCTCGCCTTCTGCTTGCCCAAGCTGGAGTACAATGGTGCGATCTTGCTCACCACAACCTCCGCCTCCTGGGTTTAAGCAATTCCTCCTGCTTCAGCCTCCTAAGTAAGTGGGATTACAGCAAACACCACTTTGCCCAGCCTAATTTTTGTGTTTTTAGTAGAAGACAGGGTTTCACCAATGTTGGCCAGGGTGTCTCAGACTCCTGACGTCAGGTGATCTACCAGCCTCGGCCTCTCAAAGTGCTGGGGATTAGGCGCTGAGCTACCACGGCCCGGCTACAATTCATTTTTTTTTTTTTATAATTATAGGTATATTCAGATAACTGTTTTCTTCTTGAGCAAGACTTTGGTGGTTTGTGGCCTTGAAGGAATTTGTCTCATATAAACTATCAAGTTTTTGATATAAAGTTTTTTTTTGGCCCAGAGCGGGGTGGCTCAGCTGTAATCCCAGGCAACTTTGGGAGCCCGAGGTGGGCGGATCTTGGAGGTCAGAGTTTCAGTGGACAGCCTGGCCAACATAGTGAAACCCTATCTCTACTAAAATACAAAAATTAGCCGAGCATGGTGGCATGTGCCTGTAGTTCCTGGCTACTCGGGAGGCTGAAGGCAAGGAGAATCGCTTGAAACCAGGAAGGCGGAGGTTGCAGTGAAGCCAAGATC